ATAGTGTGGTTGATACATACATGTATATGTGCATAGTGTGGTTGATACATACATGTATATGTGTATAGTGTTGTTGATGTTGTTAGGTGCTGTTGAGTTGATTTTGACTCAGGGTAACCTTATGCACAACAGAACGAAACACTGTCCAGTCCTGTGTCCTCCTCACAATCGTTCTTGAGCCTGAGCCCATTGCTGCTACCATGGTGATAGTCCATCCCGTGGGGTTCTCCCTCTTTTTTCAGTGACCTTCTACTTTACCCAGCATGAAAGCCTTCTCCAGGGACTGGCCCCTTCTGATAATATGTCTGAAGTATGAGAGACAAAGTCTCCCCATCCTGGCTTCCAAGGGGCATCCTGGTTGTACTTCTTCCAAAACATATTTGTTTGTTCTTCTAGCAGTCCATGGCACTTTTAATATTCTTCTCCAACATAATTACTCAAATGCATTAGTTCTTCTAAGGGTTTCCTTATACACCGTCCAACTTTCACATGCGTATGAGGCTACTGAAACTGCCACGGTGTGGGTCAGGTGCACCTTAGTCCTCAAACTGACATCTTTGTTCTTGGACACTTTAAAGAGGTCTTGTACAGCAGATTTGTCTAATGCAATACATTGTTTGATTTCTTGACTGTTGCTTCTATGAGTGTTGATGTTGAATCCAAGTAAAATGAAGACGTTGACAACTTCAAATGTATTCTGCATTTATCATGATGTTATTTATTGGTTCAGTGGTGAAGATTTTGTTTTCTTTACATTGAGGTGCAGTGCATAACAAAGGCTGTAGTCTTCACTCTTCATCAGTAAGTATTTTAGGTTCTCTTCATGTTCAGTAAGCAAGACTATAACATCTGCATATTGCAGGTTGTTAATGAGTCTACCTCTAATCCTGATGTCATACTCTGCTCCATATAATCCAGTTTCTCTGATTATTTGTTCAGCATACAGACTAAATGAGCATGATGAAAGCATACAACCCTGGCACACATCTTTCCTGGTTTTAAACCATTCAGAGCCCCCTTAATCTGTTTGAATGCCTCTTGGCCTATGTACAAGTTCCTCATGATCAAAATTAAATGTTCCGGAACACTCATTCTCCACAATGTGGTCCATAGCTTGTCATGATCCACACAGTGAAAAGTTTTTCCATAGTTAATAAAGCACAGGTAAACATCTTTCTGTTGTTCCGTTTTCAGCCACGATCCATCAAACGTTGTCATCTGAATTCGTCTTGAACTTCTGACAGTTTCCTGTCAATGTGCTATTGCAGCTCTTTTTGAATTATCTTGAGTAAACCTTTACTTGCATGTGATATTAATGGCGTTGTCCGATGATGTTCACGTCCTATTGGGTTCCCTCTCTTTGGAAGGGCACAGATATGGATCTCTTCCACTCAGTTGGCTAGTGTGGCTGTCTTCCAATTTTCTTGGCATACATGAGTGAGTGCCTCCAGTGCTGCATCAGTTTGTTGAAAGATTTCAATTTGTATTTCATCAGTTCCCACAGGCTTGCTCTTTGCCAATGCCTTCACTTGGACTTCTTCCTTCAGTACCATTGGCTCTTGATCATATGCTACCTCTTGAAATAGTTGAACATATATCATTTCTTTTTGGTAAAGTAGCTCTATATATTCCTTCCATCTTCTTTAGATGCTTTCTTCATCGTTCAATATTTTGCCCAAAAAATCCTTCAATATTACAAGTCAAGGCTTGAATTTTTACCTCAGTTCTTTGAGTTTGAGAAATACTGAGCATGTTTTTGCCTTTCGATTTTTTAACTCTAGATCTTGCACATTTCTTTATAATATCTTACTATGTGTTCTTTAATGTCCCTTTGAAATTTTCTGTTCAGATCTTCTACCTCCACATTTCTCTCAGTTGCTTTAGCATCTCTGTGCTGGAGAGCAAGCTTCAGAGTCTCTTCTGACAGCCTTTTTTCCCCTCACTTCTTTTTCTTTCTTGCCTTCTCAATGACCTTTTGCTTCCTTCCTGTATGGTGTTCTTGGTATAATCCTACAATTCTCTGGTCTTCTGTATTTACTGTCACATGCATCCAATCTGCTTTTGAGATGATCTCTAAATGCAGGTGGGGTATGCTCAAGGTCACATTTTGCTTCTTGTTGAGTTGTTTTCATTTTCTTCAGCTTCAGCCTGAATTTGCACGTGAGCAATTGATGGTCTGTTCCACAGTCTGCCCTGGCCTTGTTTTGGCGGATGATAGGGAGCTTTTCTATTGTCTCTTCCCATGTTGTTGTTGGGTGCCATCAAGTTGGTACCGACCCATAGTGACCTTATGCCCAGCAGAGTGTATCTTCCTATAGAGGGAGTCAATTTGTTTCATTTGTTTTCATCTGGAGAGTTCCATGTGGATAGTAGTAACCCTTATGATTGTCAGATTCAAAATGGCTGTTGCCAGTTCATTTCAGTTCATTAATGCCTAGGACATCAATCTTTATGCATTCCATTTCATTTTTGACCACTTCCAATTTTCCCAAATTCATACTTCGTACATTCCATGTTCCAATTTTCAATGGATGTTTACAGCTGTTTCTCCTCTCTTTGGGTTTGTCCCTTCTGCACATGAAGGTTCTGAAAGCTTTACTCCATTGGCGTCATCCTGGTCAGTTCTATGTTGAGGAGGCAGATCTTCCCCAGTCTTCCTACCTGAGGGATCATCTTCCAACACTTATCTGTCCATATTCTAGTGCTCTGCATAATGTTTTCATTGTCTGCTACTATATCTGGCAATGTTCTGCTGCACTTCAAATGGTTTTCAGTGGCTGAATGGTCAGAAGTAGTTTGCTTCTCCTTCTTCCAAGTCTGTCTGAGTCTGGAGCTTAGCTGAAACCAGTATATCTATTGGTCTTGAAAACACCGGGGCACTGCTTCCAGCATGACAGTGACATACATGCTACCACAGTCCTACAAACTGACAGACCAGTGGTGGAGCTCATCGTTACATACTAGTTGTTATTTACAAAGATACTTACACATGTATTATCGAATTTAATCTTTAATCTAGAAGAAAATAGATCATCTGATGTATAAGGAAACCTTTTCTTTGCTTTTAGATGTCAAATGGTGATGATTAACATTTGAAATCCACATCTCTCCCCTTCCTTAGTGGTCTCCTATGGAATAATTGCTAACTTCATCCCACATGAATCTGCTGAAGGAGGAGGGAGATAAGGATTTCAAATATGAAACATCACCATTTGACCTCCCCAAACAAAGAAAGACATGGTTTAATGACATGTTTTGTTATCTATTTTCTTTTATAGGTAGTGGATTATCAAGTGGTCAGCAGTTCAAATCTACGAGCCACTCCATAGGAGAAATAAGAGGCTTTTGGCTCCCACACCGATTTGTAGCCTTAGAGACAGGGTCACGATGAGTTGGACTAGCCTTGGTGGTATACAGCCATCAGTCACATAAGCAGTGTGATACTGGAGAAGAAGCACTTGACTTCTAGCCAGAAGATTGCTGGTTCAAACTCACCAGTCACTCCTTGGAAACCCATTACAGAGTCGCTATGAGTCAGAACTGACTTGATGGCACTTAACAACAACATAATCAGTATAATCGATGAGCCCAAACTAATATTGTTATTATTGCTAAGTGCTGTCAAGTTGGTTCTGACTTACAGCAACCCTTTAGAGGGTTTCCAAGGAGCAGCTGGTGGGTTTGAACCTCCTACCTGCGGTTGAGTGCTTTATCCTACAACACCACCCCAGGACTGCAAAACTAATATGTTGTTGTTGTTGTTGTTGTTGTTGTTGTTGAGTGCCACCGAGTCAGTTCTGACCCATTAGCGACCCTATGTAGGGTTTCCGAGGAGCAGCGGGTGAGCTTGAACCGCCGACCTTGCAGTTCAAATGGCTTTGCAGTCTGGTCCATTAACCCACAGCGCCACCCCAGGACTCCACAAAACTAATATAAATGGAAGTATACACTTGTACAGGTTGGCACTAACTTTTTCAACCGTGAGGAGAGTGTATTGACTTCAACACTCAGAGAAGATCATGCATAAGGTTTCATCAAACACCAGCACAAAGGTAAGGGAGAGCTAGATCTTTTTTTAACAAATTGAGGACACATATTTATGTCAAATCTAACAAACTGGCTAGAAATTTCCACATGAGTAATTGATTCTTCTTGTTGTGACATGCCATTCAGTCAGTTCCACCTGATAGCAATGATGTAAATAAAGGGTTTCCAAGGATTGGCTGGTGGGTTTGAACTGCCGATCTTGTGGTTCAAACTGACCTTGAGACCCTACAGTGCCTTACCAGGATGCCAAGTAATTAATAGAGAAACAGAAAATTACACGTAGTCTGTGACTTATGTATTAGTCATGATGGGATATGAAATTTATAACAATTTTTCTTAAGATAATATTTCATCATCTTAAAAAAAATTTTTTTTTATTTCATTATCTTAAAAAAAAAATCTTAATGACCACACTCACCAATCCTATAAAAATGCAAAAGAGCTGGACGACATCTGTGTAGGCCACGGAGTAGAGGCCCCCCACCAGGGTGTACAGGATGGCGATGAGCGCCGACACGATGACCGAGACGTGCACGTCCACATCAATGATCACGCTGATGGTAGCGCCTGAGAAAACAAAACATGGCGGCGCCTTGGTCAGCGTACACAGCTGGAGCCCACTTCCTGTGCAGTACACGTGGACACACCTGGGCAGCAGGCCTTTTCCACTTCATGGAAAGTGGAATAGATGGATAGAAATAGCTAAAGTGAACGCTAGTTTTGGTATTTAAACATCTTTATATTTCAGTAAATTAAATATAGGAACCCTAATGGCACAGTGATTAAGTGCTCAACACTGAACAGATCCGGTTATCTCCTCCTGTGAAGATCACAGTCTTCAAAACCGTGTGGGGCAATTCTACTGTGTTCTTTAAAATCGCAAAGAGTCAGAATGAACTCCACGGTACAGGACAATAAGAAACGTGCATGCTTATGTGTGTATAGCTACATGCGCGGATAAGCACTAGGCTGCCAACCAAAAGGTTGGCAGTTCGAACCCACCAGCCCCTCTGTAGGAGAAAGATGTGACAGTCTATTTCTGTGGAGATTGTTCTTGTTGTTGTTGTTGAGTGCCATGGGGTCGGTTCCGACTCTGTACAGGGTTTCCGAGGCTGTAAATCTTTACGGGAGCAGAAAGTCTCAACTTTCTCTCTCGGAACAGCTGATAGTTTCGAACTGACGGCCCTGAGGTTAGCAGCCCGATTCGTAAACACTACGCTACCACAGCCTTACAAACCCTATGGGAAAGTTTTATCCTGCCCTGTGGGGTCCTGGTGTGGTGCTGCAGGGTAAGCCATGGTCTGCTAATCCCAAAGTTGGCAGTTCACACACACCAGTTGCTCCTCAGAACTCCTATAATGAGTCACTGGGAGTTGGAACCAACTCCACAGCACTAAACAACAACAACAGCGTACGGTCACCATGAGTTAGAGTTGACTCAATGACAATAGGTAACAGATGTTGTTGTTGTTAAGTGCCATTGAGTCAATTCCGACTCATAGCAACCCTGTGTAGGGTTTCCAAGGAGAGCTGGTGAGCTTGAACCGCCGACCTTGCAGTTCAAACGACTTTGCAGTCTGACACATTCGCCCACAGCGCCACCCCAGGACTCCAGGTAGCAGCTAGATACATATATTTATATTGTTTTCTAATTTAGTGCTTTGCTAGTTTATTTATGTAGAGAAAACCTGGTGTTCATGAAAGGATTCATTAAATATTGATAAATTTAATCTACCCAAAGAATCTTTGATAACTTTGCCAGCTATCTAAAATTATTATTTAAATATGTGCAATATATGTAATTTCACATCCATGAGAAAAGGAAACCATTATGATCAACAGATAGCCATTTCTCCTTTTTAAAATTAATATTCAGCTGCTATTTTGCATTGACTCTGCCTCTTACTAGTTTGATAGCTGACAAATAACAAAAGCTTGAAACAAATACATAGGAGAAAAATCATAAAACTGGTAAATCGTACCTACTTACCTTTCTCTTGAAAATTCATGAAAAATCACTATTATGTTAGTAGAATACAGTATCCAGGGACAGATTACTCAATAAAGGTAAGCACAGGCTTAATTGTGCTTACTTAGTAATCTCTTATGCACAGTTTTATGTGTTTTCTACTTTTTCACTGCAGATGAGCAAGTAAGAACAACTAATTCCATGCTAACCTTGCTTACTGGTTTCTCTGTCCCCGTCAGAGATTTTAGTTTTGAATGGTAGCTTTCATTTGCTAGGAAGGAGCTGTGGAGTTGGGAGAAAGACAGATGCCAGTCATACCTAGAAGCAGAATCTTTGATGTAGTGAAACAACGTGAAATTGTTACTACTGGTTACTAAGTAAGCACAGGTAAGCGTGTTGATGAGATATTATTATACTGGCAGTCTCCTTATTGTTGTTGTTGAGTGCCGTGGAGTCAGTTCTGACTCATAGCAACCTGTATAGGGTTTCCAAGGAGCGACTGGTGAGTTTGAACCGCTGACCTTATGGCTCAAACCAACCTTGCGGTCCAGTCCTTTATCTCAAGCACCACGCCACAGAATGATTGCTAGACAGCTAAGTGGCCATAACGTATTTGCAAGGCTACCAAACATGCTTAATGTTCCTTTGGCTGCACAAGAAAGCTTCTTATTATTATTGCTGTTTGGGGGCTGCTGAGGAGGTTCTGACTCACAGTAGCCCGATGCACAACAGAGCAAATCACTGCCCCTTCTTGCACCATCTTCACAATTGTTGAGTTTGAGCCCATTTGTTGCAGCCACGGTATTAATCCGTCTTGCTGAGGGTCTTCCTCTGTCCTTTATCAGCAACTGATACTTGCTGAGAACATGTGCAAAGTGCATGAGATGACGTCTTGCCATCCATGCTTCTAAGGAGCATTCTGGCTGTACTTCTTCCAAGACAGATTTGTTTGTTCTGCTGGCAGTCCTAATAATTTCAACCTTCTCTGCCAACACCATAGTTCAGATGCATCAATTCTGAACATCAGCACTGCAAACTTCTCAGAAAAAAACCAAAACAAAACAGTTGCTGTGATGATAGGGAAAGGAACCTTTAGAAGAGATAGTTTAGGAACAGATTCCTATGATAACAGCAAGAAAACTAAGAGAATACTTACACTTACAAGATGAGTTCAAAGTAAACAGTTGAAACTAGCATCTGGACTTGCCTGGGACGTGAAGGGGATCCCCAGAAACATCCTGTGAAGACTTGTTTTGGAGAGAACCACCTCCTGGCCAGCCAGCTGTGCTACTACCCACTAGATGTCGGGTGCTCTGCCGTTGGTATCATTGCTGACCAGCCTTGGAAGAACGTCACTTAATAAATGGCCCCAGCGTTGACACGTGCACCTTCAGACTAGCCTCTGGAGATCCTGAAAACTGTTGGCCACGTCACCTTTGTATCATCCGTCCACGTGACATGGGATATGTTGGTTCTGCTTATAAGACATTAGTAGCCCAAAGAGCTTTAGGTTTCAATACTGTATTTTTAAGTCACTTTCATCATCAACATTTTAAAACTGTTTTAGGGAAAAAAAATTGTTTTCTCTTCATGATTTGTAAAATCATATTTGGTGGTATGGCACTGTGGGTTAATGCTCTGGACTGCAGTTCAGTCTCAACAGCTGCTCCTGGGAAATCCTGTACAGGAATGCTGTGGGTAGGAACTGACTCGGCATTCAACAACAGTGACAAATATTTCCAACAAGAACTTTACACTACAGACAGTTTGATCCGCTAGGTTCTTGAACTGCCAATTCAGAATTCACTGGCTGCTTCTACAAACTCTTTTCCCATTGTTCTCAAACTGCCACATAGTTTGTATCTCATATTATTAAATCCAGAAATGATAGAAATGCTAATGTACATGATATCTAAGGAGCTCTGGTAGCGTAGTGGTTACGAATCAGGCTGCAAACCTCAAGGTCAGCAGTTCGAAACTACCAGCCGTTCCACAGGAGAAAGATGAGGCTTTCTGCACCCGTAAAGATTCACAGCCACAGAAACCCTGTACAGGGTCGCTATGAGTCGGCACCGACTCCACGGCACATCACCACCCCCACCCCCACCACCATACATGCTAACTATTCAGTGACCACCAATCAACTGTCTTATCCTCTACTATCATTTCTCAACTGGGATGTTAATAGTGTATGTGGTCCTCAAGAGATGAGAACCTTTATTTTTTATAACAATATCAAGTGCTTTGCTATTAGATAGCAATGTAGATTTCTTCAAGACAATATTTTAATTGTTTTGTTCTAGTGGTGGTTGTTGTTGTTAGGTGCCATTGAGTTCGTTCCAATTCATAGCAACTTTATGCACAACACAACAGATCACTGCCTGGAGTTGTGCCATACTCACAAGTGTCACACATTGTTCACGGTTTCAGTCAGTGTATCAGTTCATCTTAGTAGGGCTCGTCCTCTTTTTCACTGATTCTCAATTTTACCGAAAATGATGTCTTCTCCAGGAGCTGGTTCCTCTTGATAACGTGTCTGAAGTAGGAGAGATGAAGTCTTTCTATCCTGGCTTCTAAGGATCATATTGAGTGCACGTCTTCCACCTGCATGCCAGGTCTGTTTGTCCTTTTGGAAGTCCATGGCACTTTTAATAGCCTTGCCAGCATCGTAATTCACAGGCATCCATTCTTCTGCAGTCTTCCTTAGTCACTGTCCCACACCCACATATAGATGAAGCCGTTGAAAGTACCATGACTTGAGTCAGGCACAGCTAAGTCTGCAAACTGAGATCATTGTTCCTTAACGCTTTAAAAGGGCTTTACAGCAGATTTGTCTAATGCAATACATCATTTGGTTTCTTGACTGCTGTTTCCATGAAGGTTGATTGTGCATTCAAGATAAATGAATTCTGTGATAACTTCAGTCTTCTCTTCAATTATGATGATGTTATCTATGGGTCTAACTGTGATGATTTTCCTTTCCTTTACACTGAGGTTGCAGTTCTTTGGTCTTCATTAGTAAGTATTTCAAGTCTTCCTCGCTTCAAACAGAAAACGTGCTGTCAATTGCACACTGCTGTGAGTGACTGCCTGCATTCCTGATGCCACATCCGCCTTCAGATCAGCCAGCTCCTGGAATTCATTGTTTAGATATACAGATTGAGTAAGTATGGCAAATGAATACAGCCCTGGTGCACACCTTTCGTGATTTTAAACAGTTCACTATCCCTTGCTCTATTTTAATGTCTGTCTCTTGGTCTAGGTACAGGCTCCTCATGAGCACAGTTAAATGTTTTACAATAACCATTCTTAAATGTTATCCATTTGTTGTCGTCAGGTGCCATCGAGTCAGAACCGACTCATAGCGACCCCATGCACAGCAGAACGAAACAACGCCTGATCCTGGGCCAACCTCACTACCGCTGCCACACTTGATACCATCAATGATGCCACCTGGCTGATCCATCTTCCTCTTTTTCTCTGACCCTCCACCTTACCCAGCATGACATCCTTCTCCA